ACTTGATCAAAACCGTTCAATCAAAACATCTAGAAACCTTATCTTAGCAACATGCAACACAAATTCAATATCTAACAATGCCAAACATAGAAAGAAAATCATTTAAATGCTGGGAAAGAAACTAAACAAAACAGCAAACATTCAGTAACTGGATTGTTCACTTTCCAGCAAATACCCGAATAGGATTCGAATGTTTTAAACTCCCAACATGCAAACTCAAACTTTCATACCCTAACATCCGAACTCTAAACTAAACAAACAAATGTTCAACATTTAAACATGCTACAACTAGCAAGAGATCATGAAAGTGCTGAGAAAATTATTCACCAAGGAGCATGCAAATCTGGAAAAAGCAAGTAAGATCAACGATATTCACTTTTGTTGTTAGCACAGCAATTTATTCACAAAACTCAACCTATTCTAATGAGGCCTTTATGCAAGATGTGAAGAGAGTTTCTGCAACAACAAGCTTCGATAAATCATGAAGACTTTTGGCATCAAAGTCAGCTGCAATTTTCTTTTCCAGCCACAGCTTATCATGCAAACCAGATTTTTGGCCCAAATACAATGCTTTGATTAAACATTCTTCATCTCAACATCACAACCTCAGAACTAAGCAACAAAACTTCATGATAATCACAAACCAAAGACCAAAAATTTGGGAAGATATCATACCAGAAATCTGAACGTAAGTGCAGAAATGGTTTCGGCAGCCTGTTTGTTTGCTTTTCAACAAGGTGTTCGATCATGGTTCTAGTATTTTAGACCCTAAACATGCAAACTCAACACCTAACCTCCTATTTCCATTCCCCCAAAACAGATTAAACATGCAACTTAAGTGGAAAGATTTGATGTGCAGCTATGGAAAAGAAAACGGAACAGGAAATGCAATTCCTTTTGTTCTTTGTTGCGGAAACTTTCTGCAGCTATGGGTTCACGTAAATTAAAGGCAGAAACATTGCATTGGACTCCCCATTCATCTACCAAACATCAATCTCAGTAGTGAAGAAACAAAAGAAAAAGAGCAAAGAAAGCATCAACGCCCACTACAATTTTGAACCCAGAAAAAATCTGTTTCTACAATTATTTCAGTCCAAACCCAATCTACTCATGCGTAAGAAGAAAAGAGAAAATTCAGACAAGCTTCACAACAGTCCGTTCATAATCACATGACTCTCATAACATTGCCCCAAAGCCAGATAACCTGACCGGGTTGCCAATCACAGAAGTGCAGAAAAAGAAAAACCAAACTCGCAGCAAAACAAAATCTAGCATCGCAGCAAAATTTCAACCTTTCTGGCATGATTTTACAAGCTATGGGCAGAAGACAAATGAAAGGCGTTACCTTTATCCCTTTCCAGAGGAAAGAACAGGATCTGGGCTGATGAACTGGGCGTCCTTGCGCAGCCTAAAAGCTTTATCTCCTCGGCTGTCAACGTTCTTCTTCAGGTCCGCAGTACTCGTATTGCTTGATGAATCGAAGATGATGATGACGTTGGGGCTCCTCCTCCTTGCTGCGCCACCTCTCTCTAGTTCTCCCTTGGTTCTCCAAATCCTCCTCTCTTGCTCTTTCTCTCCTAGCCACTCTTCTCACAGCCGTTCAACCCCCCAAGAACTCCTGCCGTTGTCTCCCTCTTTTTGCTCCTCTCCTCCGTTGTCCAGAAAAATCCTCTGTTGTGTTTTCCGTCCCCACGAACTCTCCCTCTCACTCCTGGTTTCTAGTTTCTTACCAACCTTAGCCGTTGTT